TGTCATCATTTTAGGTGGGGGAACTTGCACAATCGGTGGCTGACTAAATACTTTTTTGCCCCACTGTAATCACCAAGTTGGGCAGAGCCCCACATCTGGTAATGAATTAACCAAACTACAAGTAAACCACGTGACGTCCTTGTCCACAGTTATTAGAAGTCAGTAGAAAATGCTAATCTCCACTCTCCACTGTGATTGTACAAAGGAAAATGGTATGAGCAAAAAGAAGGATCGCAGTTGCTGAATTGCAGTCTTTTATTGCCCGATGCTTTTTATCAGCCATTGGACTTTAACGATTGAAACACAAAACTTGGCAGCCCCCAAAACTGTGGACAAAAAGTCCCCAGAGGCCAAGTCAATAAATGACAGTGACCGGGCTTTACACATGCAAAAACCCAGATAATGCTTTCCTTTTAACAGCTTTCATTCTCAATAAGAAGTTTCTCTGTATTATGTGACCTCAGCTGATTTTTCTCCCCCCTCTCATCCATCTGGCAAAATTTCAGCCAAGTCAAACATGAAAGATTGCAAAATAGCTGTGAGGGCTGACTAGGGGGTAAAAAATGTTAAAACATACAACGTGATCAATTCCTGGATGAATGTGCATACCTTTGCAGACAGAGAGCCCCTCTCCATCTTCTCAAACCCAAGAGCAAGCACACAATCAGAAAGACCTGCAAGAAAACATTAAAGGCAGTGAATAAAACTACTGATTATAGACGGCGCTGAAAAGAATATGCAGGTTTGAGTCGGCTGATTTGATTTTTACGCTGGATCCTCTCCTGATGCAGCCCTAAAGGGCCTCGTCTCTCCACCGGAGACTGAACTGGGGATCTTTCGCTTGTTATACACCATCGAGCCACAGTAACATTTCAATACTTTGAATAACTAGGATCCAAAGAAGCCACTGTTTATCAAGTTTCACCACAGCCTTCAGGTGTTCTAGAGCAAACTACCTGCCACTGTTAAAACCTCCTGGCTGACTCACCTCCCTGGACCAGCTGGCGTGCCATGAAGAGAGCAGTGGAACCTGTGGAGCAGTTGTTGTTGACGTTGATAATGGGGATGCCGGTCAGACCCAGGCTGTGGTAAATGGCCCTTTGTCCACATGTGGAGTCACCTGGAATAGAGAGGTAGGATGAGATGCTACTCTTCACTCATTTCACTTTAACTGTGCTGAAAAGTACATGAAAGAGGCTTAACAAAAAAAACAAAAGCAAAAAAAACCACCATTTTGGGGCTTAAAACCGGGAAAATTAAAAAATTCCCATTTTCACATATACAGCAAAGTAGACAATGTGAATGCACATACTATATTGTTAAAAATATAAATATTTATTCGAGGTTTTACCATAGACGTATCCTACGCAAGCTTGTTCAATGGCAGAATATGGGATTCCTGCATCTGCTAGAGCCCTTTCACCTAAAATA